GGGCTGGTCACCCCGTGGTGCCCTTATAAAACTCAACGTTTAACATACTCACGCCGGCTTGTGCCCGCCTTCACAGTCGGGCATATTTGCGGAATACACCACGCCGCCGTTGACCCTGGCCATTGATCGAGCAACCCAACGTTCCTACCAGCTCCCTCCACGGGAATATGTTTTTTAATTTACGTTCTGTTCATTGTATCCAATTTTTCGTGTTGTATTATAATAATGTTCATGTATTTAATTGCTTATTTATTTAAGATAATTCATTTGCAAATGTGACTGTATTCAGTACTCACAAATATTTGAAGGGGCACTCCCAGTGGCAGCTGTCCCTTTGCAGAATAAGGTGTATTAGCACGTGGCCTGCAATTTGGTATCAGCCTGCCAGTCGGTAGAGAAAAATTCCATGTGTAATCCTAATTGAGTAATGCTATTGATGATGATGATGAAGTTGATGATGACGATGATGAAATCTTTGTCGGTTGTGCGTGTCTCCTAGTCTACAAGTCCATGAATCGGGCCCTGCAGCTGCTCAAGGATGAGCTGTGAGCGACGCCGGGTGCAAGCTGGTGCCTGGTTTATTCAACCTGGTGGGATGATGGGTTGAGTGGACCTTCATAGGTGGCGATAATAACAATCACACAACTGGTAAATGTTGAAATCTGTTGAGAACCACCCGTAACTTGTGTAACGTTATAAGGCTTCTGTATTTTATTCGGCAATGGTTATGTAACGGATAAGATAATGGTTCTTTATTGGATGAGATCATGCTTTTGTTTGGGATGAATAATGGTGCAAAATCGTGAGGTATCATCGTTCTGTAGTATGGGACAATGTTTGTTTTATAATGGATGAGACATTGATTCTATATTGTATGGGACAATTATATTCTTTAATAGTGAGACGATGGTTTGTCATGGAATAAGACGATGGCACGAAATTGAATGATAACACAATGAGTGGTTCGAACTTGGATTGAGGCAATTTTGTGGAGTGGATGAGACAATGGTTATATAATGATGCTTGAGAATGCTTCTATAATGGATGAAACAGTGGTTTGTTACTCTTTGTTTCTTTCGGTAAAGTCACGTAGGTAGAAATAAAATAAAATAAATCACGACGTTACGAACGCAACACAAGACGGGCGCTTGTGTTGCGTTCGAAACGTCGTGATTTATTTTATTTTATTGCTACCCATGTGACTTTACCGAAAGAAACAAAAAGTATGGATTCCTGCAGTCACGAAAGCTTCAAATCAAGAGTGGTTTCTTATTGAATAAAACCGTGGTTCTGTATTGTATGAGACAGTGAATCTGCAATGGATGAGACTATGATTCTATAAAAAATAACATAAAACAACCTACAATAAAGAACTATTCCAGTGTAAAGTTACGTTTCCAGTGTCTTTCAACCTATAGATGAGATCAGTGGCATAGCAGTGTGGTCGTATATGGAACACGGTGCCAGGAATGAAATATGTAAATCATCGCGTGGGTTTGTGAGTAATGGGAAGTAAATTGCCCATTGTCCCATCAAAGGGAAGTTTGTTATCAGTATATACATAATTTGCTGTGATGTGGTTTTTAGATCAGATGCGTGGACATTGCCAAAGAAAACTGAGCATAATCTGAAACATGTGCAGAGAGGCATGGGAAATGTGCAGCCAGACTTAAACTAAATTATTCTTTTTATTTTACCAGGTAAGGTCCACTAAGCTGTATAACTCTTTTTTTAGAAGCGACCTGACCACAAATTATAGCTCAACGAAGTGGCTTATCACGTGGACATTTATAGCAGCCAAATACTCTAAAACGCATGTTGATTCTAAATGCGGACGGAAAACCCGGAGGACCTGGGGAAAAATCCACGCGACCACAGGGAGAGAGAGAGAGAGACTGCAAACTCCAAATAAACAGCAGGCGTCAGGGTCGGGATCGAACCCACGATCTTCTGCCTACCAGGCGAGGTAGTTAACATATCACCACCGCGGCGCAGATCAGATAACTGACACAAACAAAATTAGAGATCTCATGGACTGAAAAAAAGTAAGTGGTGCTTGGGGCAGGACACGTCACTACAAGAGGGATGATGTCTGATGGTCGAGACTAATGTGGGAGTGTCAGTCCAAAGAGGGAACGCGCCCGAGCTCCTGTGCAGCTGCTGGGTGGATTATTTTCATCGTGAGACCACGAGAGATGGCGACGGCCTGGAACAGAAGGCCTTCATCCAACAGTGGATAGATCATGGGTGACGGTGGTGACAATGAGATGAATGTACGAGTGGTGAAAGATTGAGAGAATGAGCACGATTAAAATGAATTGTGGACGAATGAATAAGCGGAAGGGGGTAGGGGGTGGTAATGGATGAGCGTTCACGTCACCACCCTCGTCAGCCCCCTCGTCAGCCCCTCGGGAAGCTAATCCCAGTAAATAAGCAACGTTGGTCCAACGTTTCATGTTGAGAGGGATGATCCAATGATTCTAGATTTGAAGCTTTCGTGACTGCAAGGATTCATACTCTTAGGTTTTTCGGTAAAGTCACGTAGGTAGAAAATAAGTAATAATAAAAGTAATAGAAATAATGATAGAAATAAAATAGTAAATCACGACGTTTCGGAGGCAACACAAGTCTCCATCATCAGGTGGGACCGTCCCAGCTAGATTTACTGTCTCAAGACTTATTTTATTTCTATTATTATTTCTATTATTTATTATTATTTATTTTTTACCTATGTGACTTTACCGAAAAACATAAGAGTATGAGCCAATGAGCCAAGGCCGTAGCCATGGAGTCAAGATTGGGGGGAACCAAATCTTCCAGGGGGTCTCGTCCCCCCCCCCCCCAGAAAAAAAAATCTAAATTTGAATACGAATTTCCTGCCATTTCCTGCCTAAAATATAAAAAAATTCACTAACACATGGGATGGACTTTTCATTTATTTTTTACAATAATGTCTAATAGTGTATTGTATTACATTGCTCTGTTTTTTTCTTTGTTACCTTTTTTGTTTCATTGTAAGTAATGGCAGAGATTAGGGATTAATAAAGTACAACCATAATCATATGAACAAACATCTATGCATTGTTATATGAATACAAGTCCAGATATTGTGGCCAAGGTTTAGCAAATTGTTATTTTTATTTACATAGCATAGCAATTATTCTTTTTAAAAAATAGTGTTTATAGCAATATATTCGAGAGGGACATTTTCAGCATATTTGAATATTGGGGGGGATGTGTGTGTCCCCAATATACATATTATAATTACAGCCTTGCAATGAGCAGACCGACGAAGTCTGGAAGCTCTAACTCTGCAACCTCTACGAAATCACGGATCTCAAACGCACACGCAAAACACTCTTAGGTTTTTTTTTTTCCGGTAGTCACGTAGGTAAAATAATAATAAATGAAAATAACTAAATTAAATCACGACGTTTCGGAGGCAACACAAGTCTCCGTCTTCAGGTGGGACCGTCACAGCCAAATTTACTGTATCATGATACCGAAAAAACCTAAGAGTATGCATCCTTGCAGTCACGAAAGCTTCAAATCTGCACACGCTAAAATAAACAAGTGCTCTATACGAGCATCTCACGAGTTTATGAATGATTACGTGAATGAATGAATAGCTAAATGAACGACAAAAGAAACGATTGAACACAAACGTTAAATGAACCATCCTATAAATTTAAATAAACTGGCCACCTATAATGCAATGTCAGCAATATTTATTATAATAACCCACACCTGTCGACCCTTCGTCAGTGCCCTACCTTATTACAGACCAATTCAGGACCTTATTGGTCACCCCGTGCACGAATAATTCTCAACGTTCATCCGACAAAGTCCCGTCACAAGGGAGAAACACAAACAAATGCATATTTTTGTGCCCGTATTGAAACGGCTGTATGCCGTATGGACCTAAAAACGCAATTTTCCTGTACAAGAATACGGGGTAAATCGTATGGGTTGATACGGTATGCTAATGCTTCGTCATACACTTTTAATCGTTGAAGGGTTTCTCTGTTCTTCAACATCTATTCTTAGGTAACTATTAATATACCATCATGGGGCCTCCTTTGCCAGTACCAAAATATACTAATAGGGTTTTTTCCCTTTTTTTCTGGCAACAAAACTGACACCTTTTGCAAGGAATCATGCTTACATTAACCACAATACTTGCAGTCAAATGCAAACATTTGACACCAAAAGGCGTCATCTGGTCGAACACCATGAGACTAGGCTCCAAAGAAAGCTGTCTCTGGTGTGGACCAATTAGTTTCAAGGACAATGCATACATTATCAGAGTATTGTTTTTTGTTTGCATTTGACTGCAAGTATTGTGGTTAATGTAAGCATGATTCATTGCAAAAGGTGTCAGTTTTGTTGCCAGAAAAAAAAGGGGAAAAACCCTATTAGTATTAACATACCAATTATAAACTCTTCTCGATTTAAAGCTTTCGTGACTGCAGGGATTCATCTTCTTGGTTCTTTCGGTAAAGTCACGTAGAAGGGAAGTAATAAATAATAAAAATAAAACATAATAAAATTAAATAATTCTCACGACCTTTCGGCTACAACGCAAGCAGCCGTCTTCAGGTGACGGCTGCTTGCGTTGTAGCCGAAACGTCGTGAGAATTATTTTATTTTATTATGTTTTATTTTTATTATTTTATTACTTCCCTTCTACGTGACTTTACCGAAAGAACCAAGAAGATATAAACTCTTCATTATAAAAGTTTTTTTAAAATCTTAAATGTAATTCTCATCAGGCCCCGGCGGTGTGAAGTGCAATCTCAAAAACATTCTCTGCTCCGACCCTCTCTATTTACGTGCTCTGAATAAGGGCCCTTGGCCGAAACGTCGCGTCTAAAGATTGAGTGAAGAATCCAGTGAACGACTCAATCAAGAAACGGAATTGAACGGGTGACCCCGTGACCTCCCTCCGCCCACAGCCCCCACCGCCCCGCCCCTCCCCCCTCTAGCACCCACCCCCCGCTCGTGACGTCACCGCCTCTTCGCCGCCGCCTCCAGTCAAAATGGCGGCTCCCAATGACTACTTTAGCGTCGGGAGCCAAGTGGCGTGCGTGACCTGCCTCGGGCAGAAGATCCACGGCGAGGTGCTCGCCTTCGACTACCACTCCAAGATGCTCACCCTCAGTATCCATTCTCCGTCGCGCCGCGACGCGTTCGCCGTCGTCCGTTTTGAGCCGGTCGGATGTCGAGGCCTAGTCGGCCGCCGCGAGGCCTCGAAGAACACCGCGCTTGCCTAGATGCCTCAACCGGGGGAGGGTGAGGGATGGAGGGGAAGAAGGAGGGAGGGAAGGGGGGGGTGGGGGTGCGAAGCGACCTCGCCCGCTCGGCGCTCGCTGTCCGAATGTTTGAAACAAAAAAACCCCTCTCGATGTGGTCACTGTCGGGCGTTGCTTGGTCCGGTGATGCCCGCGAGTTGATCTCGAGGGGGCTTTGGGGCGGTGTTTGTGGTGGTCTTTTTGTGATTGGCGCGTGTCCCCTTGTAAAATGCTTCGGTGTGTTCGCGTACAGTTGGCGGCTTGGATGGTTAAGTGGTCGGTATTTTTTCGTGTTAAAGGACGCTTTAAAGGCACGTAAATGTAGGTGTGTGTTCATACGTTGTCTTTAATGATAAAGTAATCGTAGGTTGGATACGTTGCTTAAAGAAAGTTATGCCCGATATGGCCACTTAACGATGAAGGTGAAAAAAAAAACCACGATCTTGTGCAACATTCAAGCCGAGGTTTAATTGTACGAACAATTGTTTTGCAATGTTAATTGTTTTAAAATGGTAACTAAAAAACTGTTGCAGGGGAATCCATTCATATGTTGTATTCAATAGTCCACGGGATATTGCTTAGGGCCGGCCGTACGTGTACCGTAATGCTTAAAGTTGCCTTGTGAGAGTAACGTTACGTGGCATTTAAACCATACACACACTACAACCATTGCGCTGTAGGTCACAAATACCGTGGTTTTGTGGCCACGCTACGTTTTTATGTGGCTCGGGCTTATGCCTCTGCACTTAAATATGTTTTTGTTACCGGAACACGAGGATAAAATGCACAACAGGAAACATTTTGAGGTCGGTGGTTTATTTCTACGTGTTTTTTTAAGGGCGAGGATTGCGGGCACGAGTTGTGTGTCTCGTCGCTGTTTTTATCCAATTTGAAGGCCGAACTGGGTTCAGGCGGAGGTCAAGACTTAGGGGTTGAAGTTCAATGCGGAGGATTGTCCTCTCTTTGTGGAGAGAGCTGCGTTCGGCGGCTTAATGTGTCGATGGCGTATGGATTCTGTACGTGCAAAGCCCGTTGGTCAATCCACTCGCTGTGTGTGAGGGTTATAATTCGCACCATAATTTAACATACTTCACCGCACTGGTCATTGCGGGTTTTGTAAAGGTGGAGGGGGTAGTTCAGAGAACAGCGGTGGATTTTGTTGCACGGCCCCCACTGCCTGTTGCACCTTTATTTTGCGCATGGTCACATCCAAATCTGGACTCAAAACTGCTTAACTTTCCATCTATGACAAGATTGGACTCATTCCGGGTCATTTGTTGACTGACGTGCGTGGTTTTAGACTCTGGTTGTGACAACTCACTGATCACAGCGACATTCAGTCTGTCTGAACTTCTTTTGCACCGTACATAGCGAACCGTGCTTTTGGAGGGTGCATTGTCTGAAGACAATTCAGGACTGCTCTGAGAAAAGCCTCTTGTGACTCAATGGGGCATTTCCTGGAAAGTGCAATTACTGTACGCTATTCGTGAACATTTAAAACCGGTTTGGCACAAGCGTTCGGTACTAAAACGTTTCCAAAAATCAACTGCCTCATTTAAAGTTGGGTTTCAATTACAAAATTACGAAGTTTTAACAAGTTGGCTTGGCTTGGGTTTATATGACCAGTTTTCCAAAAAAATCTGCCTAAATCCGCTTAATTCTCCTGTGTGTAAAAAAAATACTTTTATGGTTCCTAAGGGCCAACCAGGTTGTTTATATAAAATAAAGTGAAGATCCATCTTTTGTTTTAGAGGAGCAATCAGCAGTGAACTGTGCCCACTTTTTGCGAGGTTTAGCGGTACACTAGTGGTGAGGATTATATATTTGTCAGCGTTTAGTATGATCCTTAAATCACCTCCGATTAGCACAGTTGGCTACGTATGGTGCGAACGAAGTTGACATGCATGCAGAACTTGGGCTTCTGTTATGGGTGAAACTAATCAACTTCAACGTATTTATTTAGGTCAATTCTAAAATGTCGCTTTTGTCCTAGTTTTAAGTATCGACTTGCTGTATTCATTTTAAAAAAATCTAGTGTGTGCCGAACATCATTATAGTTGTAAATTTACTAAGTTATATTTTCAGGCATGCTCATCAACTAGAGTATGGAGTTGAGTTTGTACTTCTTCCAAAACACTCACAAGGCATGGGCAGGTAGCCATCGTCCAGCAGTGGATTGACAGTGTACTGTGCATGTTCCAGAGCAGCTGCATTGTCCATCTTATTGTATATATGTTGAACTTCTTTTGCACCGTACGTAGCCAACCGTGCTCATTGAAAGTGCGAGAGGGAAGGTCAACAAACTGAGCACAAAAAGCACTTCTAAAGTGATGAGTTTTCAATCTACATTTAAAAGTGCAACGCTCACGTGGCTTCCTAATATCGGAAGGAAAAGCGTTCTAGCCAGCGGTTACTCTCTTTCTTTGTTGGCTAGCCATGTGCAAAAGGTTGGCTTCTTGTCCTTTAATAATACATCAGCAATAACGTACGGCGAGGATTGACAAAAAAAGACTACATTGCAACGGCGTCTTCGTCGAATGCTAACAAACGTGTTTGACTCCTGGTGAGTGGGTGGGCAAGCGAGTGAGTGAACCAGCGAACGAATAAGCTCCTTAACTCGGCCGGCACCCCAGAATGCCCGTCGTCGAGTGGCAAGGTGGGCGTGTGCGACGTGCTGCTCCTCAACCTGGCCCTCGTCTCCGAGGTGGACATCCTCGCCGAGAGCAGCGAGCCGCCCCCCGTGCTCACGTCGCTCAACACCAACAAGGTGCGTGCATGCTTGTGTGCGTATTTTTTGTGGGGAGCGGTAGTGTAGCGGTTGGTACGCTGCGCTACGTACCCGGCGACCCGGGTTCCATTCCCGCTTGTGGCCAACATCGGTGACGAATATCTGAACTGGTCTTGCGCCTCTCCGAGGTCAACTTAGCCTCAAATGAGTACCTGGTGCCGTGTATAACATCGCCACTGGGGAGACAAAGGCGTCATGCGTGGTGCTGGCCACCCACCCCCATGTGTACCGTTTCGGCCTTCATAGGTGCTCGCAATAGCACTTGCCCCAACAATCTGTTAAGGCTATATGGGGATCTTTGTCATGGGGAGCAATAGTTTAGCGGTTGGTGCAATGTGCTACGAACCTGAACTGGTGCTGCCCCAACCCGAGGTAACCTCGGCCTTAGAAAGGAGTAACTGGTGCGTTATGTCCAAAATATCAGCACTTGTGCACAGTGCCAGCTTTAATAGGTGTTTGCTAACAGCATTTGCCACAGTCTATAAAGGTTACAATGGGGGGTGGGGGTCTTCGTGTGTCTCTATAGGTGTGTAGGAGTGTTTGTCGGTGTGTGTAAGAGGGATATGATTTTGGAGGTGTGTAGGCATGGAAGATTGTAGCACAGGTGGTACATTTTCCATTCATCTCGATTAGCTAATCCATAATACGTGGGTCTGTCCCATAATCTGCTCGCTAGCAATCGACACTTAACATGGCCTCAAAATGCACGTCGGCTGGCACAAATGCTGTGGTGATATCACAGTGGCGTCGTGGCGCATGACGGCTGTTGTGTGTATGGTGGGGAGTGGTGGAGCAGTGGTTAAGCACTACACAATTAACCTGATGACCTCTGCTCAATTCCCTGCTGTGGCTAACATCAGTAGCTAGTGATATTTGAACCTGTCCTGGGTTGGCTGAGCTTTAAATGAGTGGCTGGTGCGGTGTGTAAACATCAGCGCTCGGGAGACAAAGGTAACCAGGCATGGTGCTGGCCACACCACCATCATTGTGTCCATGCCGGCCTTGATAGATGTCAGCTACACTAAACCACATGCTGAAGCTGAGGTTCGTTTTGTATTTACAATGAACACATTGTTTTCCTTTTCTCCCAATAGTATTCCAGTTGTGCTGCCATCAACATTGAATTGTTGACTCCATTCGAACAGATTTGGTGGCAAGCAAACAGACTGAGCGGTGAACTCACCGAGCTACCGGCAACTCATCCGCCCATATCGATACCCGACGGAAAGTCCTGTGCGTCCACCCGTCCCTCTTGCGTTTCCAGTGTTTTCTCTTTTTATGCTTTTGTCGTTTGTGCAATGGGGAGGGGCCATGCCTAATAATGGGATTCTTCAGCTATTTTATTTCTTGTGGGCTACGCGATAAAGCTAACTACCGTGTGCCGGAGGGCATCGTGGCATTTCGCGTGAAGTTTTAACCTCGTCGCGTTGGCATTTACAGATGTCGTGTGGTGTCGTGACGTCATAACATGTCTTTTTATTTCTCCATTTAATCTCACAAGTTTTTGTAAACTCTCGTCTACGGCTCTCTCATCTCTTATCTCGTGTGCATCTCGCTTTCATCTCACTAATCCGTTGTCTTTCTCCGTATCTCAGTGAAGCCATATGTTTTTAGTGAGTTGCTCCAGGAATCATCAAGTGGCCAGATGTGGTTGCTCCGCAGTCCGCCAGATGAATAATCATGGCTCATGATATCAAGCGAATCAGAATGAGAACTCTCACAGCTGGAAGTGTGACTGGATGTCAGAGTGGTCCTAGAAGCTGACGTCATAGGACTACGTCTGAGGTTACTTTAGTGAGCTTCTTAAGCCACAGTAAAGGCACCCCATCCCCTGTGGTGCGTGCCCTGTAACGAGTTAACTGCATGGTAGTGAAGCTGAAATGTGTAATCCACAAAGCTTGAATATCCAATTTCAGTGATCCGTTTTGGTGCAGCCCATGAGAACAGTTAAATCGCGGGCGGCCGTAACCCAGATTTGAACCCCTTTGGCACTGCTAGCTTAATTGCTCTGATTTGGTTCCCCCCCCCTCCCCACCTCTGTGCCACCCAGTGACTTGGGGATGTGCATTTCATATTTTGTGGAGGACACAGGGTATCTGTAGTTAAAACACAACCAAGGCGGTTGAGTGATTAATCCTCTTGGAGGATTTGCTTGTCATTTAATTATCGATTTGCCATTGCATGAAAATGTATATGACAAAGTAACATAAATATTAACATTCATGCTCAGGTCAAATGTGAAGTGTTTAAAGGTCTAGATAAGATTATAATGAAAACGTGAACCCCTCTTGCTCGCACATTGACTTCAAAACTGGTTTCCCAAAATAGACGCGCAAACCAATTGGGGGTGGCTCATTTGCGCGAATGAATGAATGTTCCCGAGAAAACTGGGCCAGAACTTGAGAATCTGGGTTCCATTCCTGGGTCAGCCATCTGAGACTAAAACCAGGATCTCAAGTGAAGTGAGTTAATGGTGTCAGCTGTTCAACTCCTCCGATGTGATTATCTTCTAATGATTCACCAAAGCTAGTGCTCAACTCAAAAACTTTACTCGAACAGATCCATTGTAAAGTTGAACTTATTTTGCACCGTACATAGCTGACCGTACTAATCGGAGGTGCGGGGGAAGGACAACAAACTAAACACGAAAAGCAGTTGTAAAAAATAAAATCAGCTTTCAATTCGGAATAATGCCAACAAATAAATAAACACATCCATGAGTCATTCTATGCATCTCTTTACTGGGAGGCTTTGAATGAGGGATGATGGCTACAGGGTATTGTGGATTTTCCAGGAGCCTGTGCTGAATTCAGATGACTGTTTATTGATAGAGGGGTTTTTTTCTTCAATACTTTGCAGAGGCAGATAACGAGATTGTGAACGGTAAAGCCAATTGAGTTGCAACACTGACGTGTAGTGTACATTGCTGCTCAGCTTGCAGAGTTCAGATCTTCGGGTTTGAATATGGACACGTGGACATCACAGACCTGGACTTGGTTAAATAGCACAATATCATCTTCAAGCGCCATAGAGAATATTAATCACAAATTCAATAATGTCTCGCATCCATATTTTTGTCCCTACACATAAAATATACAAGTAATTTTCTTTAGCATCTCATCGAGCCTCATCAGTATTGGTTGATGATGAACTGCCGGATGTTTATAGGCGAAGACCCTTGCTGTTGTGTATGGGTCCTGGTTCGACACAACTTGTATAATTACACAGCGGCTGAGGTTACAGTTTACCTTGTGATAGCAATTCACAGCGAATGACACGATGACATTTGTAATTGAACCCAGGTCTATTACAACGACAAGGCACGTAATGATCCACCGTCAATTAAAACCCGTGCAGAACAAGATTCGATCGGGTTTGCAGTAACATAGCGGCGTTCAAATGCCGACATACATCAAGGCTCTGCATAGGGGACCAGTGATGGGGTGCATTTATTTTATGGAGGGGGGCAGTCAAGATCTAGGCCGCTACTTGAACATGGTCAGGGAGTATTTGGGATACTATATGGAAATATATGGATATGTTAATTCTATTCAGATGTATTTAAGACGATGGAATTAAAGAGATAGACCAATCGAGATGAATGAGATGGAAAAGAATGTTCTTGAATTGAATCTGGACCTCCTTCCCCTCCCCCCTATGAATTGTGACGATGAAACTAATTTCATGGCAAGGAAGGTTGAATAGTTGAATATGTAATAGGTGTGTGAGTGATCCTATCGGTTTGTCAATTAGTATCGAATCCTTCGCTCACAGCGTATCAATCTTGCACTGCTAAGAAATAATTGCGTTTAAATTCTTGTAAATCGTATGCAAATGATTCGCTCGCATGTCGGGCGACTGGAGCAAACAAAACTGCTAGCGCGACAGAAGTGAAACAAAGCAGATAGGGACACGTCTGTGAGAACCGCAATCGACTCTAGAATTAAATCGCGACTAAATCGTAAAAATCAAACTAATCGCCGAGTGGGGTTGATGGATCATTGCCGGCCGATAAAAAAAAAAAAAAATTACACCGCGGATTTTTCAATTGTGATTATTCACAGAGCAGTCATCGCCCGCTTCCAGCAGACTGGACATCTGTGAAAAACAACTTTATACCTCATCGGATTCCTCCCAGTATGAATAGAGATTCGGATTCTGACTAATGCCCTCGGTGGTCACTCATGCAAATGAGATTTGTGTAAATCCTGTTCATTGAGTTCTTGCCTGGTAACGTCTGCCGGCAGTGTTGAGGTACACTTCTGTGTGTGGGTAGCCTGAGTTCGATTCCCGCTCACGGCCAACACCGGTGACGATTATCTGAACCGGTCCTAGCCCTTCCCTATGTCGACTCAGCCTAAAAAATGAGTACCTGGTGTGGTGTGTAAAGATCAGCACCTCTGTGGACCAGCACGGTAGCGTCGGCATACCGTCGGCGCGTTGCCGTGCGCCGCACCCAAACCCCCCGTGCCGTTTTGTTCCGCTCATGTTGTGTCGTTTTTCCGGGCAGCTCTCAAGCCGGGTGCACAGCGAGGTGGAGGAGAAGTTGAGTCACGCTCACGCCGTGAGCATGGGGGTGTCGCCCGAGGGAATCCTGTTGTTCCAAACGATCCAGAAGACGTGAGTTAGCCGACGCGTCCTCCCTCCCTCTCTCCTTTTTTTTACGATCAGGAAAAAAAAAATGCTCGGTTATTTGGCACTTTGCTTCATTTTGGCTTTCATTGCCTTCCTCCGTAGCTCCCTCTCTCCCTGGTGTCCTCTTCCATCGGGCACCATTTACTTTTGCTTGTGCGTCATCACCGATGACCTGTATCTCGCGGGCTCCAGTAATGTGAGGCAGTCTCGCGTGTTAGGCAACTTGGCGGTCAAAGTTGCAAAAGATGTTAATAGTTGGATAATTATTTTTATCTGATGAATTTACTGCATTGACTAATCGTCCCAAGTCTACGAACAAAACGTGTGTGGTTGTACAGCCGCTTGTCAATTCACTGCTCGATCAGGCCCTCCCTATAGTAGTTCATGGACGTGTTTGTATCGCTGCGTGGCCCTTAATAGGGGCAAAATAAATCCACAAAGAACAGAATTGACTATTTGGCTCAACGCGTTGCCAGCGCGTGCCTTACACGTGCCAGTCTAACCGAGGCACTTGCCTTCATCTCTCCAACCTTCTCCACCATCGCCTCCGTCTCTCCCACCACTGCCCTCTCTCTCCACTCATCTCTCTTCTGCTGACATCTTTCTCCATCCATCATCCCTCTCCGACCTGCTTGCCTCTCCGACCTCCGTGCCTCTCCCACCTGTCTTTCTGTACCACCGCCATCTCTCCCATCACCGCTCGCATTCCCACCGCGTCCTCTCCCCATCGCCGTCACGTGTGCCAGGATCAAGGAATGCAAGTGGAACGAGAAGAACATCATCGTGCTGGAGGACGTGGTCATCTCTCCGCCGTACCGCGTCGAGAACTGCAAAGGCAGAGAAGGGAGCGCACTGACGCACGTGCGCAAAATTGTGAGTGCCGCCCCTTCCTTCCTCTGCCTTCCCCTTCCTTTCTTTCTTGTCCATCCATCCTTCTTGTCTCGTACCTGTTCCCTTCAAGGCGCGTTTCGCCTCTGGAACAGCGAAGATTGGGCTAGATGGTAAGGAGGACCGTGGTGGCTTGTGATTACATGGGTTGTTATGGGAGCAGGGAATTATATTTTTGTTATTGAGCACACCTCTATAGTGTTTTTTAAATCCTTTATATTAAGTTTGCTTGCTTGCTTGCTCGCTTACGACCGTGCAAATCTTTCGGTCGTTTTTAACCCACTTCCTGTGATCCAATCGAGCTGACATTTTGCACACAGACTCGTTGTGCGTGACAATTTATTTTTGTGAAAATGTTTTTCCAAAATTTTCCACTTTCTAGGAAAAAAAACATTTCATATTTAATTTAAAATACCAATGTGATAAAAATGAAACTCTTACTCAAGAAAAACAGAAATGAATAATAAAATAAAACCGATGCCACGCATATAAAGGATTTATAGTGAAAAACTTTGTTTTTACGGGTTAATTTTTTCCCTCCAATGTTATCCCGATTGTGCCCTTGGTTTTTCTCGTAAGACAAAACAAGCTCGCAGAGCAATGGTACCCGTCGTGCTAGAGAACGTCCCACAGAATCATTTTTAATGGAACTGCTCCTGGGATTCCTTTAAAAAGTAACCTTCTGATGTCAACACTAGGGGGCTGCACTTTCTCTCAAACCAAAATTAATCTGATGGGGGTTTGTTTTTAATATCAACGGTGCCTGGGCTGACGCCATCAACTCCACTTCACTTGAGAATCCGGCTCAATGGAGGGCTGTGTTTTAACCGAACGACCTCTGCCGTGCCAGCTCAGCGTTCTAACCACTAATCCACGCGACCACCCCGTGCCATTTGATAATTGAATATTTCAGGATACATTTTTTCACAATCACAGCTGGACTGCAGTGACCACTCGTGGCACCCGATTGTGTGGTGCTACGACTATGATGGCCTGTCGGCTATTGCGCAAGCTGCGTCGTATTGATCCGTCGGGGGGGAAGGCCGAGAGAGAGAGGTCCGTGTGGAGCCTCATTGCCCTTGGGTGCATTTTAGATGCGCGAACGCAAGTGTTGTGGACCTTCTTTCGCACCACCGCACGTAGCCAGCCGAGCTAATTGGAGGTACGGGGGAAGGCCAACAAACTTAACATAAAAAGCCGTTGTAAAGAAATGAGTTTTCAGTCGAGGTAGGTGTTCCATCTACGCAAAACCTGCCATCCGCACATTCGCTTCGTTCCGCCTTAAACCATTGCGCCGGTAGCCGAGTGTTTTTTACAGACCTTTGTTAAGTCCACTGCTGGATGGAGGATTCTATGAGATGGGGAAGGTGGGGAGGGAGGGGTGTAGAGCAACGTGGAGGTGAAACAGAATCGATTCTTGAACGGAATTGCACACTCGGGGCTGTTCACGGAATCGCTTTGGGGGTTGTTGGGTTATCGTTTCAAGACGCCTTCATTGCAACAATGCACCCGTGAAAAAGTCCTTTACTTTTTTTGCCGTTCAGGTTGAAAAACACTTCAAGGACGTGGACCAAGCCAAGTCGGGGCAGCCTTTGGCGCAGCAGCAGGCGGCACAGAGAGAAGCCCCGCTGTCGTTATGAACCTCGGGGTTGCTCGTCCCCCCCCCCCACCTCTCCCTCCCCACCTGTACCCCCCCCACCCCGTTCCCCCAACCCACCGTCCCCCCCCGCCCTCCCTCCAACACCTGCCCAAACGGACAACCACGACTTCGTCCACTCTACCCATGGCCACTCGGCTCTGTCCGAGGTGATGGGGCGATTAATAAAAGAAGCATCAACTGGGACCTCTTAATCGCAGCCCCGCTCCTCCGGTCACCCCCCCTCCCCCCACTGGTCGCCCTCCCGCCCCCACTCCTCTCGGAGAGGTCCCAGAAGAATGAGATGAGTACAAATTAATCCAACAGCCGAAATAACTACGTTCCAACTTACCAAATTCCCAAAAGTTATGTTTTACGATGAAAATATTCCTCGTTCTTTTTTTTTCTCCCCCCCCCCAACCCCCGTCTTGTTTTGAAAACTGTTACACTCTTGGCCTTTGATTTGGACAAATTGAGTGCTAGAATTTTCCGTCCCGTCACGTGAGATATGTCGGTCTTCCAAGTCTGATGGCCCCGAGTTGGTGTCGACGCGGACTGCTGTTTTTGTAAATGCCGTCCTCTCGTCTTATCAACTCGATTGGAAATCAGTGTCCCCCCTGTGGTCTGTCCTCTGTTGAATTCCTCGCAGTGTCGAAATCTAAAACTCCCGATAAACGTTTCCTTACGCGGCCCACAGATCCACGCCGAACGTGCTACGCGCAAATTAAATTGTCCTCTGTGGCGATTTCTATTTATGAGCGTGTAATAAAAAAAAATATTTTCAAATTTTTTTTTGTTGGGGGGGGGGGGGGGGGCGGGGGAAGCGTGGGAGGAGCTGGGGGGGGGGGGTCGTGGGGAACAAGTGTACGTATTGCAGAAATGCCACATTCAGAGTCGGCTCGTGTATTTAATTTAACCCATGAAACGTACTCATTTTAACACTTTGTAATTTTCATTGCCAGTGGACAGATTTGATTGTAAATTATGCATCGGCGACACACAACAAGGACCCGTTCCGAGGAAGCCGGTCTCGGTGAGTGTGGCATCTCCGCGACTCGTCGGTCGGATCATCGATCCGACGATCAAGCCCCCCCTGGTTTTTGGGGGCTATAAAAAGTGAGAGAGAAAACAAAAATGACGTGTGAGAAAATATTACAAATAGAAGAAGACTGAAGGAGGAAGAAAACCCAACAAATGACGTCTCGGAGCGCGCGAGTCTTTTGCTGTCGCGCCAGCTTAATTAAAGCCGCCAGGGTTAGTCGGCGAATACGTTGGGCGTGTCGTTAACGGAGTCTTAAACGAGTGCTCGTTAGAGAACGCCTCTTCCAGAGCACCGCCAGCCGCGCCTCTACCGCTGCCGCTCCTCGGGGTAAAAGTTGGCGACGGCTGGAGAGGGCGCCAGCGCTCCTGTGCAGGTTTTGCCGGAAAATATTGGGAACGACGGATAGTCGTTAACGGTGCGGAGCGAACGGAGCGCGCACGCACCACCCGCGCTACGGTTACGGACGGACTGTAGCGCCCGCGCTGCGCGCCGCTCGCCACTCCCTCCCTGCCCCCCCCCAAACCCCCCCCCCCCACCCCCCTCTCTCTCTGCACCAACCAACCCATACCAACTCCTCAACTTCCAAGCTCTCCCCTCCGCTGCCTTCCCCACCCACCCACCCGCCCACACCCTCAATATGGAAAGATTTCGGTTTATAAATTAAAGATGAGTCTTATAAACGGCTGCTGTTTGTGTGTGTGCACTTCGGTGTCCCGGCCAGCGTTGGAATGTGACGGGGCCGCTCAGGGTTTTTGCATGTTCGACGGCGCGCAATTTGGTTGTGCCGGGGTTTCCTTTGCGGGAGAGTGGGTGGCCATAGTTTCACCTTCCACCCTCCCTCCCTGAACCCCAACTCCAGGGTACATTTTCTTTCCGATTTAAAGATCGGTTCCGCTTTTTAACCTCCGGCGGAGAACGTAGCAGATGCCAGCTGGTGCGGGAGATCACGTGAACCCGTTACACAAACCGGCGTTGGCCTATTTACAAATTTGTCGTCAATCCTCAACCCAGGGCGGTGACGTGACCGAGCGGCAGCGTGTTCTCGCAGCTTGTTTCAGGGGTCTGCGGTTCGAACCCCACGGCTGCCCTGGTTAATGCTGCATGCATACGGACAGTAAATACCGCGCGCTGCCTCCTTTACAGTGGAAGTAAAAAATATCCCACGAAATTGAAAAAAAAATTCGTTACCAGGGGCCTGGCATCGCGATCGAAATTTGCCGCACTTAGAAAAAAATACATTTCCTGCTGTCAGACCGCACATTTGCACTCCCTTGCTGCGTACACCATGTCCCGCACAGACGGCTGCCACGAGGGGTCCCCTGGGCTCGACTGCATGCAGCAGGGCATTGGAATGGTTGAGAAGTGATGTTATGCGAGGTGCTTTCTAAGTTGCCGAGACATTGAAGCAAGAGGCACTGTACTATGCAAATCCTCATCTTCCGTACGACGTGAAAATGGTGACAGACAAATCGATTTTTTTTTATTTTATGCGACCAATTTGGGTGCCTGTATCGTGAGCATAGGGAGAGGGAGGGGACTGGCTCTATCCTGTGGCTATTCCAGACCCACTAATAGGAATGTCTTTGAAATGTGATTTGCTTTTTTTTGCTTGCATTTCCATCATTTCACGAGATGAAGGATCCATTCGTAAATCTCCCAGAGCCCTGTGTTGGAGAAAATGATTTCTATCGGGCTCCGTGGTGTGAAGTGCAGTCACCAACTCTGAATTATATCCGATGAAAAAAGAATCTGCTTTCAGCTTTCCAGCTCAATTCTCATCTTTTTTTTATTTTATACCGGAAAAAAAGATTCCACAGATAGGACTGCTCAACCCTAGCTTATGATGCTTTCATATTTGCATTTCCTTTGCGCTGTTTACCTTTCTGGCGTTGTTCTCCGACTGGTGGTGAGACGAGGCCATGAAGGAGGCTGCCTCTGGTTGAGGCCAATCAATTTCGTAGACAATTCATAGTATCAGAATAAGTTTTCCCCTTTTGCCTGGCAACAAAACAGGTGTTGAGATGGTAAAACACCAAACTGAAACCTTTTGCAAGGAATCGTGGCTGCATTCACCGCAATACTTGTGGTCAGATTGCAAACAAAAAACACTGATAACATGCATTATATTCTTGGTTCTTTCGGTAAAGTCACATAGAAGGGAAATAATAAAATAATATAAATATTAAAAAATACAAATTTTCACGACGTTTCCACTGCAACACAAGCAATCATCAGGTGTGAAATCCACAGCAAGAAAAAAAAATATGCTTGTGTTGCAATCGAAACGTGAGAATATTTAGATTTTTATTATTTTATTATTTCCCTTCTACGTGACTTTACCGAAAGAACCAAGAATATAAATCCCTGCAGTCACGAAAGCTTTAAATACAAATTTAACATATGCATTGTCTTTGAAACTGATTGGTCCACACCAGAGACAGCTTTCTTTTGAGCCTAGTCTCAAAACGGTGTTAGACCACAGGACGCCAAAAGGCGAACAGCACAAAGACAATGCACTATCAGAGTAATGAGAGCTCCGGGTCGAGCAGCTACATTATGGGACCTCCTTTGCCAGTAGCAAAATAGAATACGTTTTCCCCTTTTTTCTGGCAACAAAAAAGGTGTTATGATGTTAAAACACCAAACTGAAACCGTTTACAAAGAATCGTGTCTGCATTAACCACAATACTTGTGGTCAGAATGCAAACAAAAAACACTAATATATGCATTGTCTTTGAAACCAATCAATTGCAAAGACAACGCATTTATGATCATGTTTTACCACAATGTCGTTTGGTTAATGCAGACTTTATGCCTATTTGGTGAACGTCTTAACACCTATGTATTAAGATTTTAAAGCCACCGTGTTTAGGTTTTTTTTTGTAATTTGTTACTTATGCAGCATTGCCAAATCATTTGTGTTGGAGATTGGCTGAGGGTTTTCACAACGCTTCTCCCAATGCGTACTATCTTACCTACGACTACAAGGCAGGCCCCGAGATGCAAACGTCCGACTTCACAACATCCGCACTTACGAACGAACTTCCATTTTATTATGAACCGAACCGCGGAACGATTTCGTTCAGCAGAGCAATCCGCAAGCCAGAAATCAGGATCCAAGAAAATGAAGATGAAATTGATTTGTTTCTTTTCATGTCACACTTCATTTTATGCTTTAATTACTATACAGTTTTTATTACAGCATTGCATGCAAATGTACAATATTTCTTACGAGTTTAACAATGCTTCTCGTTTTTGTAAACGATAACATTTATAACGCAGACCGTGTTTACAATTAAATATTGCGTTCCGATATACGAACAAATCTACTTTCGAACAGGTCTCCAGAACGTAACCCATTCGTAAGTCGAGGACTGCCTGTACTTTAGCAGGTAAAGCCCATTGAGTTATAACTTTTTCAGAGGCGACCTGGACACGCCTGATGGCAGCTCATTGAAGTGGCTGATATCATCACAAGAGCCGAATTGATTCAAGAGCCAAATGGCTCACAGGGCTATACCTAATAAATTAACTTGATCACACGTAATTTATAACCGCAGCCAAAAAAAATCTCAACTCATGTTTGGAAATGTAGAGGTCAAAACCGCAGGCACCCTGGGGACAGTAAGCGCGACCACGAGGAGCGAGAACACGCGGACTCCGAATATACGGCACAGGTCTTGTGAGCGTCTGGGATCGAATAACGACCTCCTGTATTCCAGGCGACGGAGATAACGTCTCGCCATCGGGGCGTGCCGTTCAGTCCTGCAAAGTGGCCTTGTAATTATTTACACAGCAGGGGGCGCGGTTTCCCACACTGTTATAAGTTTGTCTCGTGTGTCAATGAAACCGAGATTTGAGAACTCAGGTTTATCGCAGGTGGCTGAAAGCCAGATTCAAATCCAGGATGTAAAACTTTGTAGTCTGCTTGTTACGCTGTTGATGGCGGTGGTGGTGATAATGAAGGGCATTGATATTATGGTGGTGATGGTAACCCTGGTCTGGTTTGAAACTGATCATCTCACGACTGCTTGGATCTCTGCTCCTAAACCAGGGGTCGGCAACCTACGGCTCCGGAGCCGCATGCGGCTCTTTACGGGCTGCTTCTTGACGATATGTACGTGAGTACAGTATGTACTCAGATGCATTGCGGCTCTTGAAATACTGAATTTTGTACCGAATTGGAAAGAAATGGCTCTTCTTGTTATTTTGGTTGCCGACCCCTGTCCTAAACTGAGCACATGTCAGAAAAAACAAGTTCCTGTCAATCCACGCCGACCTTCGCTGTGAAGTCTGGTCAACCAAGCCCCAAGGCCTTCATCCAGCACAGGATTCACTCGGTGCTTTACGTCGTTATTGCTATCATGACCATCACCATGTAAACCATTGTAAGCATGCCGACGCATTATTTGGTGAATTCATACCGGACTTGGGTGCGCCGGAGGCTTCAGTTATTCAGCCCGCCGCCTTCTAATAGCATGAAAGGGGTGGGTGGCCAACACCACGCCCGGCCGCCTTTGTCTTCCTTGAGGCGATGTTTTCACATCGCACCAGGTACTCATTTGAGGCCGAGTTGATCTAGAGGAGGCCCAGGACCGGTTAGGGTGATCGTCACTGGGTGTTGGTGGGTGAGCTGAGAATCGAACTCAGGTCTCTGCCGGGTTCGTAACGCAGCGCGCTAACCGCTGCGTTACCGCCCCCCACCAAACAGACAAAATATCCCCCGTATAGTCTGTAGCAGACTTGGGGCAAGTGCTGTTAGCGAGCACCTATGAAGGCCGGCACGGCGCACGAGGAGGGGGGCAGGTGACCAGCACCACGCCAAGGCCGCCTTTGTCTCCCTAGCGGCGATGTTTACTACACACCCGCACCAGGTACTCATTTGAGGCTGAGCCGATCTAGGGGAGGTCCCAGAACCGGTTCAGATAAATCGTCACTGGGTGCTGATGGCCATGAACGGGAATCGAACCCGGTCCCCTACTGCATCCAGCACTCCTCACGTTAACAAACTCACTTCGGTTTAACACGGACTTGTCGGCTTTCGCGACAAAGTGCTATCCATACTAAGAGTTTTTTTTTTGTTGGGTTAGATCGCGAAAGTATGAATGTGTCGTTAAACCCGCCACCACCCGACCCAGTTCTGGCTGCCCGGCTGATGCCAGTTGTAAGTAGTGGCGAAACGTCGTACTCGAATTGGACATGTTGTGGGTTTTTACTCGTCACGCATCGGCACGGGTTTGTTTAAGTGACAAAACCTCATCATATTCTTTGGGTCTTTCGGTAAAGTCACGTAGATAGGTTCATAGAAAATAACCAAAAACTGCGACATTTCGATCGCAACACAAGCGGTCGTCTTCAGGACGAGGGGGTTAGCCTTTGAAGGCAAAACTACGATCAAAACGTCGTAGTTTTGTTATTTTCTTTGAACCTATCTTCGTGACTTTACCGAACGACCCAAATAATATAAATTCCTGCAGTCACGAAAGCTTTAAGTCAATATTTAAAACCTTACCAATTGGCCGTGTCGGGGTGGTGGCGGGTTTTAACGACACACAACATTAATAATTTTACGCGAATCTTAACTCCCCCTCCCTCCCCTTCACACACACAAAAAAGAAACCTCCGTTACGGAAACTCAACTTAACCCGTAGTTAAACCCCGGAATGTCGGAGCACTTCAAACCCAGCCGAGCGCACGCCACCCCATTGCCGCATGTTCGTCAACCACCCCCGCTTCCCCCCCCCCCCCCCCATCAAACGCGATAGATAGCCAATGGGGTACAAGTAACATCACCGGGAGGGGGGGCTGGTGAATAAAACCGGCGGGGGTCCCTCTCTGCGTCTCTGCGTGAGCGCGGCGCGGAGCGAGTCGCGGAGCAGGCAGAGATCGGAGGTGGATATCGCGACCTCGTCTCCTGCTGTCCCAGACACACCGCGCCGTCAACATCACTCGGATAAAACCCAACACGCAAACAACCAATATCGGGGTTTCTCGGCAGTTGTCTTCCGTTATTCGCCTGCAGCGCAAACATAAAGAGCTGCTGCTGCTGTTGTATTGTGGACAAAGATTCCCCGTGTCGTCGTCGTACAGGCTGCTGGGAGCAACCGCAGCAACACGCGCGCGACGGTGTCACCTCGACAGCTTCAACTCTGGCAACCTCCAGCTGAGCGGCCGTCCGTTCGTGGCACAAACTCGGAACAGAAACGTAACGAGAAATACAAAAAAAAAACACCTGGTGGTGGCGGCAGCATCCTCCTCATCCTCCCCATCAGCAGCAAGCAGGCAAGCGGTGACATCCTCGTCCGTGCCAAAGACGAAAGGATCGTTCTCCCCGCGTGCGTAACGCCGCCCGTCGAGAATCGTGGACGGGGACCTCGAAATTCTGCGAACCAACGATGTACGAGATGGACTCCCTGTCGCCTCCGTCTCCCTCGAGGAGTCTCGTGACGGACGAGGAGGAAGAGGCTCCCCTGGGGAGATACCGGAGCCCCATTGGAGGGGGGGCGGCGGCGGCGGTGAGGAAGCGGTCGGGGCTTCGCGGCGACTCGGCCGTCACTCCGGGATGCAAGAAGGGCAAGCGAAGCGCCGCTGGCGGCGTCAACGGATCAATGGGCCATCATCAACAGCTGCTGCTGCTACAGACAAACCATCACCAGCTGCCGCAACAGCAGAATCGGCAGGACAGCGACCACCAGCAACAGCAGCTGCAGCATCATCCGGAGCATCATCATCATCAGCAGCAGAATCAAAATGAACCGGAATCGCAAAACCAGCGTTTCGTGGCAAACGTGAGAGAGAGGCAGCGTACGCAGTCGCTCAACGACGCGTTCGCCTCGCTGCGCAAGATCATCCCGACGTTGCCCTCGGACAAGCTGAGCAAGATCCAGACTCTGAAGCTCGCGGCGAGGTACATCGACTTCCTCTACCAGGTGCTGCAGAGCGACGCGGCCGAGGGAAGGGTGGCGGTGGCGGCGGCGGCTCCCAGCTGCAGCTACGCGGCCACGGAGCGCCTGAGCTACGCCTTCTCCGTCTGGAGGATGGAGGGAGCCTGGTCCATGTCAGCGTCGCATTGATGGAGGGTCGTGCTGGTTGGTTGGTGGTGGTGAGGAGTGGTGGTGGTGGTATTCTTAGGTTTTTTTCGGTAAAGTCACGTAGGTAAAAAATTAATACAAGTAAAATAAAATAAAAATCACGACGTTTCGGAGGCAACACAAGCTTCCGTCTTCAGGTGGAACCGTCACAGCACGATAGCTGATAGAGGCAACAGCCATCGTGCTGTGACGGTTCCACCTGAAGACGGAAGCTTGTGTTGCCTCTGAAACGGCGTTATTTTTATTTTATTTTATTTATTCTAATTTTTTACCTACGTGACTTTACCGAAAAAAACCTAAGAATATGAATCCTTGCAGTCACGAAAGCTTCAAATCTAGAATTAGGGTGGTGGTGGTGTTGAAGATTGGTGGTGTGTATCGGTGGTGGTGGTGATGATTGGTGGTGGTGATGATTGGTGGTGATGGTGGTGGTGTGGATCGGTGGTGGTGGTGAGGTTTGGTGGTTGTGAGGCTTGGTGGTGGTTAGTAAGGATTGGTGGGTAGTGCTGATGATTGCTGTTGATTGTGAGGATTGCAGAGTGGCGGTGAGCATTAGTGGGTGAGTGGTTACATTGATTTAGGGTGGTGGGTGTGCTCGTGTTGGTTGTTGACGGTATTGATGAGTACTGGTGAGGATTGTGCATAGTGAGTGGTGGCGAACGGTGAGGATGGTGGGTGGTGGTGGTGGTGGTGGTGTTGATCGTGGGAGCCTATTGAGAGCTACTGCGCGTCGCTTTCTCAATGGAGACCTGGGAGAACGGTGACTCAACTCATCACCACGATCAGCCATGATCCATCTACTGCTGGATGAAGGCCCCCTCGGAACGGCCGCCAACTCTCATGGTCGTGCATTGCAGCGATCCACTTAGGCACCGCACACGAGCTGATTGGATGGGATAATGAATAATCCAAAATAGTCATTGTTAATTATTGTATGTACGTATACATGTGCACTGCCAGGTCGTGTTAATATTATAACTTCTTCTGGATTGACTAAAGGTCACTGGGTGCATATTGCAATGAGCATTCGCGATGAGGATTTGTCAGGGTTATTAAACACAATCTGAATCTCAAGATGCTGTCACACTGAACGACAGACAGACAGAGAGAGAATCATTCAGAATTTATTTGTAACGTTGCATTTCAGTCTCGGGCACTCGATCCACGGCTTGTCGAGAGGCACAGCCCCGGTTCGTGTCGGTCCACTGCTGGAGGAAGGCCTCCCCACGCCGAGTAGACGGAAATAGGTTCCGAACGGACGTCTGTGAAAACAATAGCTTCGTAAAATTCCTCCAGTATACATCTCGACTTAAAGCTTTCGTGACTGCAGGAATTCATATTATTTGGGTCTGTCGGTAAAGTCGCGTAGATAGGTTGGATGAAAATAATAATGAAGAACATTTTTGTTCTTTTCTTTGAACCTATCTACTTGACATTACCGAAAGACCCCAAGAATATGAATTCCTCCAGTGTAAATAAATGTTTTGATGAAGCATACTTCACCACGCTGGTCTGTGCGGGTTTGTGACGGCGCGCCGTGGATATTTCCCGTACTGTCCAGAGCGGCTGAAAAACAAATTCGCTGCTTAGCTTCCGAGGTTGTAACAAGATGGGGAGCGCTCCAGCGGATGTGTGGTCATTTTTTCGAAGGGAAGTCGAACTTACGGAACGATAAAGCACCTTGATTTTGACGTAAAAAATAAATCTAGACAATCAACGATTCAGGATCGCACACGCGTTTGATCACATTCCGAACGTCGATTTAACATTTTTTTTTTACTAAATTCCACTTGTAAACACGTGCCGTGAGGAAGGGTCATTGCCCGAAACGTCGCCGATTATCTACTTTTTTCTTCTAAGACCACACACGATGTTATTGATGAACATGTTGAATGTTATTGTTGTATTGTCCTTGTGCACCACTGCCATCGCAGTAGCAGCAGCATCACCAAATAATTTGTTCCAAAGTAGAAAAAAAATGCATGCGTGTAAATACAATATATATAATTAATTGTCAAACATATAAATATATACATAATTTGATGGTGATAGCAAATGTACAACTCTTGCCAATCCACTGATGGACGAAGGCTCTCGTCACCATACTTCACCGCGCTGGTAAAAGTGCGGGTTGACGAAGCGGGGGAGTGAGACCAGGTCAGTCAAATTTCGCTCGCCGCTGATGTTCGCCGTAGACTGGGAATCGAACTCAGACGGGTCGCCTCGTCGGTGGGGTAAAGTGTGGGGACTGCCACCTCTTCCGAGACATACTGGCCAGCAGTGGAAGAGTCGGCCAGATGACGTTTAGAGGGACCCCTTCAGCCAGCAGTGGAGTGAGCAGGCAGTTGCAGGGCTGCGCCTTGTATCACTTCAGCTGCCGATGAAATGTGCCTTGTCACGCGCGTGCCTTCGATAAAGAGCGTGAGAAGTCATCACGGTCTGAGATTTAATAAAGAAAAACTTATTTTTTTTTTACTTGCGAATGTTGACAAGAATCGAAATACTCACGAAATCATAACGTCGCTTTTGTTTTACAAATGTCATCGTGTGTGATTGTGTGTACCCCAAACCGCCGAGGTCTAAACTACGTGTTTGTGTATCATCATTTGCATGCGATTGAGACAATGCAATACGCTTTTATAAATATGTATCGGATTTTAAGGAACCTAACATTCTTTTAAAAGTTCGTGTTAACTTTGTGCGAGCCACGTACGTACAACATCGTGTTTTTTTTACTCGGGGTATTGCAGCGCGTCCACTAATATCGATTAAAAGGCTCACGCAACGCGCGTGCATCCGTTTGAAGGTATCGATTATTTACGATTTACACAAAAAGAGTCCGTGTAGGTTTCACGGTGCGAACACTATGAGTACAAAACCAGACAAGCAAAATAAACGAGACGACAAAAAAAACAAGCGACTAAAATGATCGATTCTAGGAAATTATAGGTGGGGAGTGGGACAGTGCATTTGGTTATCGCCAGGGCTTCATTTCAGCTGGCTCGAAAACCCTGGCAGACCACATCTGTCGACTTCCTATTCAGTGAGACGTTAAGCCCAGCTTATCTCCATATATATATAATTATTAATATTACTTTCTACATAGTCGCATTAATTAGCGGAATAAAGGACGGTCAAAAAGTTTTGTGAAATAAAAAAAAAATCTAAAAAAATCTGACAATCTTGCATCGGCCGTTGTCTGAATTATAATGAATGAAATACAATTCAGATGTATTTATATTTTTTGCTTCACGCTGAGGATTGACGATGTTTGAAATAGAACGAGGTGAGTTGCGTTCGTTGTGAACTTTTAATTCGTGCTATTCATAATAACTGTCCATGACAGTCACGACAACGGTGTTTTATTTCACGCAACTCTACAACTCTCTCCCTAACGAGGCGATTCGGCCAAGTTGTTCCACGAGACGGAGACTTCGATTCGGAAATCTCCCACGTGCCAAGAGTCCAGCCCGCGGAAGTAACACATATATATCATAATTATATATATACAATTCAATATAATTCTAGATATGTGTACGAGCATCTTTCTCGGAGAGGTTCTTATCTATGTATACTGCATTTAAATGTATCCATAATTATATATTTACACGTTTTGTGAGTGTGTTTCTATAATTGTACGTATAAAAACGGTTCATATAGCATTATGTATAAGAACCTCTACCAGAAAGTTCCCTCCCCAATCACATTCCATTGTCTCTGAAACTGCGGACATCTGAGATGGCCGGGAGCCTCACAGGTCAGTGCACTGAGCCGGCACCGCTAGGAAAGAGCTTCATAGCTCATCGGATTCCTCCAGCATGAAGAAATCGTCTGATTCTGAGCCCCGGACTCGACTCGTCTCCGTTTTGCAGGTCAGCTGCTGAGTGACGCTGTGCTCCGCACAGGGACAGCTTTACACGGCAGGGGGCCCTTTTGGAAATTAAAAACACGTGTTGAGAAAGTTCGCTGCAACTCAATATTATTATCTGCACGCGCTGCACCAGCCCGATGATGAGTATACACGGCCAACGTGGCGTGACGTGGACGGGGCCGGTTGTGCAGTCTTTGACATTTCGCAGCCAGTGCACGTGGCAACGAGATTATTTATGTTTAATGATTTATTTTTACTTGCTCGGCTTATTTCCTTTAAAATGTTAATGTCCAATGAGGCATTGGGGCAGAATAATGGGGGAAATGTTTAGGTTATCGAGCATGGGGAGATTTATTTAAAAAATAAATACAGTCTGTATGTATACTGTATACGTGCATGCATGTTCAAATTTGTGCTCATTTATGCATGTGTTTCATTGCATTGCCAGAGTTCATGATGTATCGAGTTTTCGTCGACAATTATTGTCGTGGTTGTTTTTAAAGATTAATGCGGAAGTGACGAGGCTTTATGAATTACTCTTTTTTCCGTGAATTGTATTCCACCGCAAATGTTATTTTGCAATAAAGTGAGCATGTCCATGTCATGAGTGTGACAACCTTGTTGGAATTGCCGTGGATTATTCACTCGTTCACTTCGGCGTGCCACCGTGCACGAGTAAAATAATGCCGGGCTCACGGAAGAGAAATTTACGAAATGAAAACTGAAAAGTGGCGCAGCGAGGCACGGAGAGATGCGTGCTGGGAATTATCTTGAGAACAGAGAGAGATACTTTGACTTTTAAACAACTTTTGTTGCCGCCAGCAGCAACAGCACTGGAGGCGATTTCGATTCGAAATACACAAAGTCACCAGCAAACAAATGAAAACAAACGCTACAAATCCACGCGCTGTGGCGCTAAAAGCACCGCACACAACACAAAAGAAAAGTCACGTGGTGGTTGTGGTGGTCATCGCGCACGCCACGGTGACGAGCGAGCGCTTCAGAAGGTGAACACGAGGGTGCCGTCCACCCTGGTACAGAGGGCTTTTCCGGCTCCCCAGCGTTCGAAGAATACGTGAGAGAGAGATGAACAAGTGGGTCAGAGAACAAACGCAGGTTTAAAGGCAGCATCCTTCCGTTCCTATCTTAAAAGCCCTCACCTCTTCTCTGTTGCTCATTCTCTTCCTCTC